CAGAGGCAGATGCGCTATCTAGACAGTTTGAGACAGATGAGGTTCTCGAGCAAGAGGTGTTCCCGATTGTACCTCCCGAGTGTCTTGTTGCTACAACGGTATCCAAAGTGTCTTCTCCACTCTTACGTGCCATAATAGCAGATCAAACTCAGGCACCCGTGGAGAGACCACCAGACAAACTGTTCATTGCGCCATTATTAAGGACAAAGGTGCTTGGGTTATTTCATGATAATTTGACAGCCGGACATCCTGGGATACATAAAACCCTCGCTGCCATTTCTAGAAAATTTTGGTGGCCGATGCTTAGGGGCGATGTCAAAGATTACGTAGGTGCATGTCGAATAATTCTCCTCCTGGGTTGTTGCAGCCATTTCCAATACCAGATGCTCCATGGACCCATCTAGCCATGGATTTCATTGTGGATCTCCCCAATTCAAATGGGTATAACACGGTACTCATGGTCGTTGTTAGATTCTCCAAGATGGCGCATTTTATACCTTTTTATAAAAATTGCCATCTTCTCAATATCTTTCATGGGGTACCGAAAAACATTGTTTCCGACAGAGGTACCCAATTTATTTCTAGGTTTTGGCATGCTTTCTTTAAGCAGTTGGGCATAGAACTTTCTTTTTCCTCTTCGTATCACCCTCAGACCAATGGTGCAGCGGAGAGGGCCAATCAGGCCTTAGAATCCAAATTACGTTATTTTATTAATGTCAATCAGTCAAACTGGTCTGAACTCCTGCCCATGGCTAAATTTGCCAGAAATAATGCGACTCATGAATCCTCCAATCATAGCCCCTTTTTTGTAAATAATGTTCATCACCCCACTGTATTACCTTCTGATTTTTTCGGGAACTGATATTCCTGCTTTGGACGCCCGTTTAGCTTCTGTCCGAGAAACATGGGCTTCGGTGCTAATACGTTCCATGTGTCTCTGCTTAAGCCTCTCACTTGTAATTGTTACACGAAACTGGTCGCTCCTCCTCAGCCTTTGGTGGTTGGTGGGCAAGAGGAATACGAAGTTCGCTCTATATTGGATTCCAAGATTTCCAGAGGTATTTTGTCTTATTTGGTTGACTAGAAGGGGTATGGCCTGGAGGAGCGTAGCTGGGTTCCTGCTGACCGGGTTCAGGCTCCCCGTCTTGTCCAGTCGTTTCATAACCCCTTTCCTCACAAGCCGGCTCCTTCACGCCCAGTTGTCGGTCTTCGAGTGGTGGGTACTGTCACGGCCCCCGGCTCGCCGCGAGACGAGTTCGCGCCCGACCAGCAAGACCACGCCGACAGACTGAGCTTACCTGCTCGGCGGTGAGCCGGGAGCCGCTCCTCCAGATCTTCCTGGCAGTTTGCCCAGAAACAAGATGGCGCCGAACATGCGGTCGCGGCCATCGATGGTTCCGCCCCCAGGGTTATACAAACGTGCATGTGACTTCATGACGCCAACGCACGTTCTGGGGTCAGAGGTCATCCTCTGACCAATTGTAGTCTAGGGAGGGATATATAAATCCCTGAAGCTTTCCAGTTCTTTGCCCTGTCGTGGTTTCCTGTCCTGGTTCCCGAGAGTGAGTTTATTATTCCTGTTATTGCTATTCCCGGTATTTTGACCTTGGCTATTCCTGACTACTCTGATTTCTGGTTCCCTGACTTGGCTTGTTTAATAGTATTGTGTATTTCTGGCTTCCTTGACCTCGGCTATCCCTTGACCATTCTCTGTCTTAACGTATTAGTCCAGCCATTCTAAGGACTGGTTTACGTTCAATCCTTTCTGTTCTTTCTATGTAGATCAAGCATGTCAAACTCGCGGCCCGGTGAGCCGCGAGTACATGCTGGTGTTATAGCAGAGTAGGCACCTGCTTTCTCCATATTGCAGGTGCCTACTCTGCTAAAACTCACCCGGCCGGGGAGGATGGCAACGAGGGACATCAGTGTTCCAGCTCCTCACTGCTCTCTCGCGTGCGCCGACTGAAGTGAAGCCAGGCGCCGGAATATGACGTCATATTCCAGCACCACTAAAACGAGTGCGGGAGCAGTGAGGAGCAGGAAGGACCCCAGGTAGATGCCCCCCATCGGCTCCATAAGGTAAGGAGCAGTAAAGTATGTGTGTGTAAGTGTGTGTATCTGTCAGCAAGTATGTGTGTGTCTGTCAGCGAGTATGTGTGTGTGTCTGTCAGCGAGTATGTGTGTGTGTCTGTCAGCAAGTATGTATGTGTGTCTGCATCTGTATGTGTGTGTATGTCTGTCAGTGTGTGTCTGTCAGCAAGTGTGTGTGTGTCAGTGTGTGTCTGTCACCAAGTGTGTGTGTCTCAGTGTATGACTGTCAGCAAGTATGTGTGTGTCTGACAGCGAGTATGTGTGTGTGTATGTCTGCCAGTGTGTGTGTGTGTGTCTGTCTGTTTGCTTCTGTAACAGTATGTGTGTGTGTGTGTCAGCAAGTATGTGTATGTGCATGTGTGTCTGTCAGTGTGTCGGTGTGTGTTTGTCTGTGAGTATGTGTGTGTCTGTCAGTGAGTATGTGTGCAGCCCACATAAACTTAAACATTGTTTATGTGGCCAGTGCCACACTTTGAGTTTGACATGCTTGATGTAGATGTTACATAGTTCTGCGTGCTGGACAACACTAGCAGTCGTGACACCTACAGTGATCAAAATACAGTATTATACTGTGATCTAATTTTTTTTTAACCCTTGAGGATTAACTTTCATTTATTTTTTAATCCTCAGGGGTTTAATTTAATTAAATTAAATATTTTAAAATTATATATTTTGCTAGCTGGGGTGGGTGGGAGATATGGGAAAATTGGGGAAATTTACTGTTAGTGCTGCATACTGCTAGTTAGGGGTGAACGGTAAAAAAAAAAGTCTATAAAAAAATTTAAACGTGTAAAAAAGTTAAGAAAGTTTCAAAAAGTTTTAAAAAAGTAAAAAAAATATCTATAAAAAAAAAAAAAATGCTTATTACCATCACACCTGGAACAAACTAGAAAAAAAAATGATCCCACGCTAAGGTTCACAATATTCCTTTTGAATTACCCCAGGGTGTATTCTTTAATAAATAGTATGTGTTTGTGGGGAAGTTTGAATAACCAACCGTCTAAACTACTCCAAATGGAACATGGACACAGCGTAAAACTTCAAAATTAGAAAAAAAAAACGGAATGGATGCGTCTCAAATGTTCCCCTTCAGCATCCCCATATACCTGGCAAAGGTACATACAGGGGTATTGTTGTACTCAGATGACATAGCTGAGCAACATATGAAGTATTATATAGCCGTAGCACACATAAGGTTTGCAAAATATACTGTGCAAACTCACTTTGTGGGTCAAAAAGGCAGAAAAAATGCTTACTACCACTACACTTGGTACAAGCTAACAGAAAAATGATCCCACGCTATGGTTCAAAATATGCCTTTTGAAATACCCTGGGATGTCTTCTGTAAGAAATGGTATGCCTTTATGGTGTAGTTTTAATATGTAGCCTGCTCAAGTGCTCCAAAGTGGGACTCTGACGCATCAAAACCCTCCATGAAAATTCACACTTAAAAACCTGAACTTGTCACATCTCTTTTACAGCACTGTAACTTCACAAAATAATGTCTAGGTCATACATTGAGCATATGGTTTTACTCAGAAGATGTAACTGAGCATAATTTGAGGGGGTTTTATGACAGTGGTACATATCAAGTGTAAGAAATACTCTGCAAAAATGCAACATGCATGTAAAAACAAAAACAAGTGTCTGCGCTAGAGAACAGGAATGTAAGCAGCAACCCTAAAAAGGGAATCCCTCAAGACCCTTAATAAGACTAGAAATTGTAAAAGTGGGTAAGGGCTGCGCTAGAATACAGTAGCCTATAAAGTGAAAACCAGACCAAATGGTCTAAATGAATAGACAACAAGTAGGCCTATATAATAGATAAAAAAGGTCTCTATTTAAACAATAGAAATAAATATAATAAAACAAAGTCCATCCAAGTAGTAAAATGTTCAGTAGAGTAAAAACAAATAAAACGTCTCACTGATATAGCTGGCTAGAGTTTGCGTACAATCCTCAGGAGTTGATCCGTCCGGGTTGTAAATAATCCGTATATGTGAAGACAAGAATAAAACACGACAAACTGCCAATAGTGAAGTATTGTAAATCCAAAGATAAAATAAATAAAAGGAGGATAGTACACTCACATTTGGAGGAGCTTAGGCCAGCTCTAGAATGGAGGGCGTTTAGCGGTATGATCCTCGCTAAGGGATATACTGGAGAAGTGTGTCCGTCAGTCCGGCCTTGGTTATGTCGTACTCCATAATATATATAAAAAACAGCACCCCCCCTCCAGGGTAAGGTGCATTTTTTTTTTTTTTTATCCCCATACATTTTGCAGACTTTGATCTGTATAACTTTTTATGAATATGCAACTCTGGAACTCCCTATTAATTTTTTTTTCTAGAATTTTAAGTTTTTTATGTATCACACCAATATGTTTAAAAGAGATTTTTTTTTAATGTATTTTGTGTCTTGTATGCATTTATATCATTATTTCCTTTTATTCATATTACGCTAGTTGTATATTTTCTATAGATTTTTATATTTATTTATATAACTTAAACGTTAGAAGTTTTCCTACCAGTCTGTTACATTGCATTTATTCATTACCCTATCCAATATTCTCTTGAATACTAATTTTGTTCCATAGGATAGCTTCATATGGATATTCATTTTTGTTTGCATCTTGCTTGGTAATATACATTATGTATAACAGCTATGCTTTTCCATTTTTCTTTTCTTCCTTGTATTGTTCAATATGTTTTTTATTTAAATGAGATTATGTTTCTGATAGGCAACTTCTTGTATTTGGGATGATGTTTAAAATTGAGAATTATTGTAGGCGGAGCCAGCAGCCGACTGAAGCGGACGTGTAGCCTCAGAGCTCCGTAGCCAACAGCCTGAAAATCCGCAAAATAACGGAACAAAAAGCAAAATACCACCTTATATCACAGCATCCCGAGATGGGAAAGAAGCCCAAACACCGGGGGGCCGCAAAACTGGCGGGGGCTTGTGATATCGGAGCAGTAACCCCCGCGCCGAACCAAGATGGCGACTCTGCCTCGGCGTCCTCTGCAGAACAGCTCCTAAATGAGCTGGACGACTTCCCCGGCACAGGGGGATTACACAGTGTATCTTCGGATGACGACAACGACCTGCCCTCCACCAAAGGGGACATAAAAGCCCTCCTATGCAATATACGCTCCCTCTTCGCGGCAGACATGGCGGTCCTGAGAGAAGAGATTCACACCGTGGAGGGGCGAGTGAGGAAGACAGAGGCGGAATCGCAGAGCCTCACCGCACTCTGTGTACAATTAGAGGCTCACAACACAGAGCTGCAGCGCACTCAGACACTGCTCACCACCCGCCTGGACGCAATGGAGGACCGGCATAGAAGCCGCAACGTGAAGATCAGAGGGGTCCCCGAAACAGTGACCCAGGAAGGCCTACAGGGATATCTTGGGCGACTCCTCGCCTCCCTGCTCACACCACAGCAGATGAAGATGGCCCTAACAGACGGGTCTTATAGAATTCCAAGGACCACTAGAGCCCCAGCAGACACCCCAAGAGACATCATCCTCCAATTTCAAACGCGGACGGGCCAAGCAACCTTTATGGCGGCGGTGAGAGGAAAGGCATCCCACCTCTTCGAGACAGCTAGCCTGTCGTTCTTCCAAGACCTATCCAGGCCCATGTTGTTGTGGAGAAGCCTCCTCAAACCCCTGACGACCGCTCTCCGCCAAGCCTCAGTCCCATAACGTTGGGCATTCCCCAGAAGCTTGCTCATCACACATAAAGGCACATCCACACGGGTTACTGACCCATCGGAAATTGACTCAGTACTGGCAGCATTGGGCCTACCACCGAGACAGGAACAAGCTAATACCGACCAGAGGCCAAAGGCCCAACACACCTGGGATGTAGTAAATGTCAGACCGTTCCAACCAGCCATCACCAGCGCCTCGTCCTCCACTGCCTACAAGGCGCAACGGGCAAACCGGCACCTAGCGGACACTTGAGAGGACAAGTACCCGAACTGCAACAAACCACCAGGCAGGACTACCGCAAAATTGACTTAAGGCATTTAGTTAATATCTCACCCCCCATTTTACATGGACACGCACAATAGACCTACATTAACGTGCTCCCACTACACCGGAGAACTACCCTCAGCAAAAGACTGGCACAGAACAACGCAACACTCCACGACCTCAGCAATACGGGTAGGCAGGGGATCGAGACTGGTCCCACGCCATCCGCAGCAGATCCACTGATAGACATTCTGTCAAACTACCTGAACAGGTCTGTCATCTGGCCCATGGCCTCAACCAGCAAGGAGCCATCCAGCTTTTGTATGGCGTTGATTCGTCCAGTATTATTTTGTTGTGGCCCTAACAACCGACTTGCATACGTTTATTTTGTTTTATTTAATCTTTATACCCCACCAGTTACTTAGCCGGACCAAATCAAAGTTAGACCTCCGTGTCACCTGCCATGGACACTACAAGTTAAGATATGTACACTGAGGGCCCATCCCCTTCACGCTCACACCTGATGTTATCACTTAGTTTACCGCAGCCTTAATGTTTGTAGGCCAGTCAAGATGCTCTTGCCAGTATAATGTAATGAATCGTAGGTCCTGTTATAAGACCGTTTTGTTTTGCCCCTTAGTTAACATGCCAGGGTGACCCAAACATGGAGGTTGTCTAATTACTAGCTTAAGAGGGGCGCATTAACATACTATAACACCAATGCAAAATATGCCGTAACCTCACACACATGACACCCAGCGGTCACTAGGCTACAGTAGTAATAATTATAGTTTAGCATGACACGAGACCTCTTCCCCGACTGCGCTAGCGTCAGCCTAATCAATATGTCTAAAATGTGTTAACTGTCATCCCTATCTGACATAACCGGACTCTGCTTGTTTATTACTCTTACACAATGTATGTTAATAGGATGCCTACGTGTTTGATATTTTCATGTTTTAAAAAAAGTGCCAACTAATCTATCACAATCTGTAATGATATGGTCAAGCTTGTTGATGCTATTGTGACTTCTCACGCTTAATGTCAATCTATGCACAAGAAAAATAAAGAATAAAAAAAAAAAAAATTGAGAATTATTCACGATTGATTAGCACTAGGTTTATTCATCACTTATGGTTTTTTACACATTATTTGATTGTATTTATTTCACTCGTTTAAAACATCACTTCATTATTACTACATATAGCTGTGGGAGAGTACCACTGGCTATTCTTACTTTGTTTATATATATCACAGATTCACATATCTTACTGTGACTTCGGAGATAGACACTCGCGATCTAACTATTTGTTTTACTGGTATCCTAGCAACTGATAGCACGTCATCACTAGTGATGTCCCAAACAGTTCGCCGCGGACTCACCATTGAGTAAACTTTTTACCCTGTACCTCATAGTCAGCAGACACATTCCAGCCAATCAGCAGTAGACCCTCCCTCCCAGACCCTCCCACCTCCTGGACAGCATCCATTGTGAAGCTGCATTCTTAGTGAGCTGTCCAGGAGGTGGGAGGGTCTGGGAGGGAGGGTCTGCTGCTGATTGGCTGGAATGTGTCTGCTGACTGTGAGGGACAGGGTCAAAGTTTACTCAATGATGAGTCCGCGGCGAACCGTTCGCGAACCGTTCGCGAACCGTTCTGGACATCACTATTCATCACGCTAGAATCACGGCACATCATGTGACCGCGGGTTCACTTCCGGGTACATGCATAGGGATTGAGGGAGTTTTTTTTTCACTATTGGGGAGTACACTATTAGATTTACAATATATATTTGGGTACATTGATCTTGAGGAAGACCCTGCAGGGTCGAAACCTCGGTTAGATAATGTAACATTTTTACTGAATAAATACTAACAGATTTTTCATAAAGAGTGCATCTCTTATTTCTCTCTCTCTCTCTCTCTCTCTCTCTCTATATCTATATCTATATATATGATAGATAGAGAGAGAGAAATAAGAGATGCACTCTTTATGAAAACCTGTTAGTATTTATTCAGTAAAAATGTTACATTATATATATATATATACACACATACAGAGAGAGAAATAAGAGATGCACTCTTTATGAAAAATCTGTTAGTATTTATTCAGTAAAAATGTTACATTATCTAACCGAGGTTTCGACCCTGCAGGGTCTTCCTCAAGATCAATGTACCCAAATATATATTGTAAATCTAATAGTGTACTCCCCAATAGTGAAAAAAAAACTCCCTCAATCCCTATGCATGTACCCGCGGTCACATGATGTGCCGTGATTCTAGCGTGATGAGTAGTGATGTCCAGAACGGTTCGCGAACGTATTTGTGTTTGGGGCAAATAGCCGTTTATGGAGTAAGGTTCCAGCATAAGTGTAGGATAGTATAAAAGGGAGCAAGTCGGTTGTGGTGTGCCAAGACCGACGATACGGTAGGCCTGTAAATAAAGAGGGCCCACCAAGGAGTAAGTAAGTAAAGTAAATGGAAAGAAAAGAGAAAGTGTTGTATACACATACATACATACATATACACACACACACACACTCTTTTCCAACCACTGGCACTTTTTATATAAATTCTGGGGCAGTAATTAGAGTCTTTTCCCATTTTATTCCGACGGCACACATTTTCGCACCGCCGTTTGGTATTTTGGCCCTTTTAGATACTTTTATCTAATTACCGTATATACTCGAGTATAAGTCGACCCGAATATAAGTCGAGACCCCTAATTTTACCTCAAAAAAACTGGGAAAACTTATTGACTCGAGTATAAGACTGGCATGGGCTGTGTAGGAGGGGGGCTGGCAGAGAGCTGTTACTTACCTTTCCTGCAGCTCCTGTCAGCTCCCTTCTCCTCCACTGTAAGTCTCGCGGTCTGAGTGCCGCGCAGAGCGTTGCCACAGTAACCCGTGGCAACGCTCTTACCCCGCGGCTCTCGCGAGACTTACAGTGGAGGAGAAGGGAGCTGACCGGGACAGAGGTGAAGGGAGCTGACAGGAGCTGCAGGAAAGGTAAGTAACAGCTCTCTGCCAGCCCCCAACAGGACCGCCGGGCTTGTAATGAGCCCAGCGGTCCTGGTCTCTATTATGGAAATGTAAGTTGCCATAATACAGACAGTGATTTGAGTATAAGACGAGTGGGGGTTTTTCAGCACAAAAAAAAAGTGCCGAAAAACCCGTCTTATACTCTAGTATATACGGTACTTCCCCTATGGGAGCGGCTAGCTATTAATATCTAGAGAGAGCCGTTCGCCGCCCCTTTTCTTATGCGCACGATGACCGGCATTACTACACTTCCCATGGAGCTTAGCTCCAAATCATGCCGGTCACGTGCTGCTATACTGGGAGTGGCTTGCTACCACTGCTACGAGCGAGCTGTTCGCTGCCCGCCGCCTTCCCTTATCTAACTACATTTCCCATGGAGCTTTGCTCCAATTATTTCCGATCATGTGATACCCACATTTTATATATATTTCGAAATAAAAGCCTCGTTATTTATATAAAAATATATTATACAGTTTCTACAAGTCTTGTCTATGAAATTGTAAATATTCAACATGTTTCAATTATGTTTTTAAATACTTGTTTGTAATTGGTGCCAATTTCAACCATTGTATATTCTTATACTGTTTCATGCCAGGTATACTGTTATACTACGATTTTGATAAAGCCTTAAAGGTGAAACGCGTTAATGGTTTTAAATTGTGTATTTTAAACAATAAAAGTTTTTTTGGTTACCTTTTTTTTTCTTTTTTTTTTTTAAATTGTTTATTTTTCGTGCAGAAAATTACAAAACTGGTCTGCAATGCCACGACAGCAAAACAAACCAACATAGTCAAAACCGTTATACAATGTCATCGCAAATAAGAGAAGTGCACATTTTTATATATATAGTAGTCATGCTTATTTCGTAGATTTATAGTTATATAGCAGCCCTGCACCTTGTTAGTAGTAGTAACTGAGAGCATGAGTAACTTTATGCAGGGAATGAATGCTCAGGCTAGCAGTAAGGTATTAGGCGTTTCAGGGTGGCTCACCAGTATACAGACGGTAGTTGAGTGCTTAATGTACCATCACTTATGTAGCTACAATGGTTTGTACTAGCAATGCTGTATATATTCTCAATATGTATAAGCTACGTGTCTGAATTATTGGGGAGACTTAATAGGCTGCATTAAGCTGGTGGATGGCCATGGGGGCCTAGGAGACAAAGCGTACTTTATCTGGGCAGTAACCTGCTAAATAACTGTTAAACATTAAAATAGAGGCAATCATCAGCCCGCTACCCAGTTGTGGGGCAAAGTATGTCCCCCAGTCCTTCACGACCTGGCTCTCTGGTCTGCGGGTCAGGAATGCGTCCATATGAAAGGTAAGGGTGGTCGGCAGTTGTGGCTGGTCCGGCAACAGGTAGGTAGGTAGTGCCAGTCTTGGAGGCTCTAAGATTTAGCCGATGCCTCTACTGGGCCACTTCACGCAGTCTCTGTGGGCTGACCCTCCGTGGACTCCAGCCCCCACCGCCTCCGTCGGTCTCCAATCAGTGCCAGCTCTCCACGCAATGTACAGGTTCTCTCCTGGGGAGGTCAGGGTGCTCCGTTCACCGCGGGGTCTTAGGCGACTTGGTGGGGGTGTTGGTGTCTCATTTTGGAAGAGGGTCTCCGCAGGGGGTTCCTGCGGGCGGGCTTAACGCCTGGAGTCGAACCGCCGGGCCTGCTTCCTCCTTCTCCGCCTGGGTGCCACACCAATCCGCTGAGAGTGGGTTGACACTGACCTTTGGAGGTGTAGGAGGTGAGTGGTGTGGCATACTTTCCTCTGCTGCCGCTCCGAGTCTCTGCCAGAATTCATCCAGAATTTTGTCCAGCTTAGCTAGGGTCGAGGATACCGGGTCTCGTGGCATGGTGGGTGGCCCGGCATCCGCCATCTTAGGTCGGCTAGGAGGACAGGCCTCCCGTCTCAGCCCATGCCGGGCGACAAGGCCATCGGTGACCAGTGAGTGTAGCTGGGGTGATGGTGCCGGGGTAACCCCCGCCGGCAAGGGGGGGAACGGGATCCCGTGCTGATTCAGCTTGTTCCAGTGGGAGGATAAGCGGGGAGATCGGCCACTTCTCCCGCGCTCCCACCCCCAGGTAGGCCGCAGTGGCGTTTCAGTTCTAATCTGTTTGGCTTGCCTCAGTTAGGTTTTAGATTAAAGCAGGATTGCTTGTAGGCTGCATCCAGCGTTCAGATTGCTATTTTTGGGCTAGCTTGGGTGAGTTTCGTAAAGATTTTGCAGATTCTCTATCAGAGCACACTACACATGCAGCCATTCAGTTTGCAAGCCAGGCCCCGCCCCGGTTACCTTTTTTATAGGACCAACTTTCTATTAATTTTATTGTATTTTATATACACTTATTATTGTTACTTTTCCTGGCTTTTTTTATTGTATCCTGACTCAAGAAATCCCAGGTGGGGATCAGTCCACCAGTGCTGTGTTAATAGAGCAGTATTCTCTACTCTACACTTGTGAGTATATTTTATTTTATTTATTTTTTTCAACTGAGAGCACTATTGCTATATATATATATAGTGGAGTACGACGTAACCAAGGCCGGACTGACGGACACACTTCTCCAGTATATCCCTTAGCGAGGATCATACCGCTAAACGCCCTCCATCCTAGAGCTGGCCTAAGCTCCTCCAAATGTGAGTGTACTATCCTCCTTTTATTTATTTTATCTTTGGATTTACAATACTTCACTATTGGCAGTTTGTCGTGTTTTATTCTTGTCTTCACATATACGGATTATTTACAACCCGGACGGATCAACTCCTGAGGATTGTACGCAAACTCTAGCCAGCTATATCAGTGAGACGTTTTATTTGTTTTTACTCTACTGAACATTTTACTACTTGGATGGACTTTGTTTTATTATATTTATTTCTGTTGTTTAAATAGAGACCTTTTTTATCTATTATGTAGGCCTACTTGTTGTCTATTCATTTACACCATTTGGTCTGGTTTTTACTGTATAGGTCACTGTATTCTAGCGCAGCCCTTACCCACTTTTACCATGCATGTAAAAATGAAATTTTTCCCCTTACCACAAACATTGACATAAATTGGTGAAAAAATGGTGACAAGTTAAGGCACAATATACCTCATAAGATACCCTGCGGTGTCTGCTTTATCAAATGAAAGCCCTTTGTGGGGTTATTTGAACAGTCATACTGCTATCATACCCTAAAATGAGACATAGGCCCATCAAATCGATCTACGAAAATTCTAACTATAGAAACTGAAATAGCCTTGTCTCTTATATGGCACTGTAGCTTCACAGAATAGGGGCAAAGGCATACAATGGGGGTATCGTTATACTCAGCAGATGTAGCTGAACACAATATGGGGTTCTGTGCAGAAATAGCACACTCCAGCTTTACGAAATACACATTACAAAAACCTTGTTATATGTGTATATGCCAAAATAGAGAAAAAAAACTAAATTTTACTCCAATATTTAGCAGAGATTGGTGATGAAATGGCTACGTAAAAAGTGTCAAACTAACCTTAGGTAAATAGCCTGTGATGTCTACTTTATATAAATATATACTTTGTGTGGCAATTCTGTTTTCTGTGATGGCTACTAAACCTACAAGACAAACATACCAACTTCTAAAATTGTTTCACATTAAAATTGTATTTTAGACCTTGTATTTTGTGACCTGTAACTTTCAAAATAAGCTGAAATCCTACACATATTATGTCTATAAATCAAGACACCTAAATTAATTTATTTTGAATTACTTTTTCCAAGCTGGACATATTATGCACATGCTATTATTGCCAAAACTGTGAGGGAACTGGGGGGGGGGGTTTGTTTTTTCTCCCATTATTATTATTATTTTTTTATTTTTTTTTATAATTAATGAGAATTTATCTATGTATATGTGACATCAAATTAAAGGATGACTATAGTGTCAAGAAAACAAATCGGTTTTCCTGACACTATAGTACCCTGAGGGTCCCCCTCCCGTGGTGCTGAAG